TTCTTTTAACTTATCTTACTTGTGTTCTTTTCCATTTAGGGCTCTGGTTTTCTTGCATTTACTCTTCATACACTTGATATTTTTTATACTTCACTTGATTTTTATTCTTTGTTACTGTAACATAGAAGCAACATCTAGCTCAAGAATGTCTTTAGAGATTCTTAATATGTTGTGAACCCTTCATTTTGTATTTTATAAGAGGATACAGAGAGGGTTGTAGATGTCATGATGACTCGACATGAACTCACCAGTAGCTCTTTGTACTTTGGCCTTTTCGACTCATCCTTTGTAAGGCTAGAAAAGAAAAGATAAAAAAGGAAGACATTAGAATAGCTTTAAAAGATCGGAGGATGCAGTTGAGACAAGTGTCCACCAGGGAAGGATCAGTATGGAACAGAAATTTCTAGCTGAATCAATTTTCTGATACAGTATGAGAACATCACAGACATTCAAATTGGACCCTTTCCCATGGCACTATGGCAAAATGCAGCAGGATAAATTCCCGGCAGTCTTTGCTCACCACAAGTTGACAAAGGCGATGAACGTGGGTGAGAAGCGCCTCTCCTCCGAGTTGCTGAGCTGTGGAGGGTCTCCTCTCACCACCTGGGTCAACTGGTCAAACACACTGTTCCATTTTGGGTAGGGAAACCGTCCTGTGGCCAGCTCGTACTGAAAAACATATATTTTATATACAGATATCAGTTCTGTTGAATTCTAAATCCCCCACAACTTTATCAATATATTTTACACAAAGATAGTTCTTTATTTACGAGTTCTGTAGAATTCTTAATGTGTTCAAATGTTCATTTATGCATGTGCATATGCAAATTATGATTGAGAAGCCATGTAGATGATAGTTTATTTATATGTCCTTTGTTAACTGAATTTCTTATAGTTAACTGATTGAGAACTATTCATGGAATTCCAAAGTTAATCCCTGGAAACCAGAAGAGTGGTTGAGGCAAAAGCTTTTTCAAAGCTTATAGATTTGAGCAAACTGGATACACACATACATCTGGTTCTATGGTTTATAAACTTGCACATACTGTATAATCCCAACATCAAAACAGAATTCAGATTCACCAGACAAAACATTTTTGTCAAACGAAGAAAAAGAAGACGACATAAACACACATTTCCCTTCCACTCTCTTTATTCATATATCAGCATATCGTCCGTTGCACAGTGAGCACTGACTGTTATACAGGTCTAACATGATTCTGACCACCAACACTTTTACCTTTTTAAACTGCTTTACACCCAGAGAAGCAAAGTTCCATTAAGATACCAAACACAATGCTTTCATTCACGTACATGGAGGAAGTGGGACAATTCACAAAGAGCATGATTCCAGTATGTTGAAGAATCTCCACGTCAGAAACTCCACATGATTTTGGTTTCTATAAATACAAGTTCCAGGCTGTTTTTTTTTTTTTTTTTAATTACTACTAATCACCAAGATGCATCCATGATTGACTGATTGATTCAGCTGCTATTATACTTACACTGTGCGTCATTGTGAACAAGAGAGAAACAGAGGTGTGTTAACGTTTATATATTATACAGACATAACTGAAATTTCCACCACTTTTGCTGCAAGTGGTGTTAATTTATCTTTTAGGCTTTACAATTCTCTTAACACTGCAATAAGGGACCAAGCAAATTTACATGAGGATTTGTTTTGTTTACTTAATCNTTTGTAGGTAAGTTTCCCAAAAAATAGTCGAGTGGAAAATCGGGCATTAAATTGCAAATAATTCAAAGTTACTTTAATCTATACATTAAAATCAGTTTTCATACTTTAAAGATACATGGACATCAGAGCAACTGACTCACCAGTGTGATTCCCAAACTCCAAACATCTGAGCGGACGTCGTAGCCTTGCCTGGAGGCGCTGGGGTCTATTCTCTCTGGCTGGAAAAAAAAGAGATACAAATGTGGGTCCAGAACCAGGAGTAAACAGCCAAACTTGATTTCAACTTTGTGGTGACGAGGATACAGTTTATGACAGAGGAAATATAAAGTTATAAGATCACAGATAAGTTCTCACGGCAGAATGATGAAATAAATTATGTTAGATAGCACCAAGGCTTGTTTAACTCTGTCAAGCTGGCATCTTAGACTTTCAAACACATGAAATTGAAACTAGAATGGCACTCACAGTGGCAATACCTCTGCCAAGGCCCAACAATCTCCCCCTGAGAGTCTTTAACTAATGTACAAAACCAAAGGTCATACCATCCTTGTATTTTATTTATTATTTTAATTTGTATTTTCTGACTCCCTTATTTTAAAAAATATTTTTCATTTTTATTTCTTTTAATCTATTTTATTTTGCTTAAAATTTGTTTGCTTTATGATTTTAAATTGATTTCTTTAAATTTGTGTCTGTGTTGTTTTTAATGTCCCTGTACAGAACCTTGAATCTACCTCCATGTATGTAAAGTCCTTTCTAAATAAAATGTGCCTTGCCTTATGAAACCACATTTCAATTCACTTGATCCAGTTTTTGTTTAGATCTGCACAAAACTGCACACACCAATAAATATCAGTCCCCTAAACATGCCAGATTTTTTTTCTCAAGATCCAGAAATGATTCTCTGACAAATCAATGAAAATGTTGAATAACTTCACATCTCATGATGTTAAAGTGGCAAAAGAAATCTTGTAGATGGCCCCTGATACCGATCGGCAGAAGTTCTTCTCCTTTCACCACATTTTGTGGTACACTGGGTTTTGCATAATCCTATTAACTAACAAACAAACAAACGTGATCAAAAACATAACCTCCTTAGCAGAGGCATCTCTCTCTCTCTCTCTCTCTCTCTGGTTGCTGTAAGTTTTGCAAACCACCAGATGTCACTGTGCCTGTTCAGTTTAAAGCCCTGAAGCTTCAAATCTTTTTCAGAACCCCCGTCACAAAGGAACTCAAACGTATGAGAAGTGGATGGAACTGCAACAAAAAAAAGAAAAGAAAAAAAGAAATGTTTTTAAACGCCTTTCTTACACTCTGAGATCATCAGAGGAAAACAGGTGTTCATGAATGCGACAAACTCTCCCACCCCTCTGGAGAATACCATGGCAGCTCATCATCTCTGGGCATGTTTACACCTGCACGACGAGATGCCATCAGCTCCGGAGCTCACACATCGCTCTGCACGCTCCCTCATTCCTGCCTCTCAGGACTCTAAGCTTCTTACACGTCTGCCAGTTCTGTTCATTTACAACCTGCTCCTCAGTTAGTCTGAATTCGCAGAGCAGACTTGGTAATGATGTGTTTCCAGGAGGCTGCAGAGATCTGCTGCCTCTGCTGCTGCGGTGCTCTGCAGAGGAGCAAGCACCTCTCTAGCCCATTTACTGGCCTGAATTAGATGCTGACGTCACTAAGCTGCACAAAGGGACAGTCTGTGCTGCAGCAGCGATGAGAGTTTTTAGAAGAGCAGAGGACGACTGCAGAGAGTTTGCATCTGCCAAGACTGGAAGTGTTGGAAGACACTCAGCTTATAAACTGTCTCGAATATAAACAGCTTTAGTCGGGAACAATGTTAACGTTTGTAGCTTCCACCTTTGGATCTTTTTAAACACTTTTAAAACAAAATATGCAACTAGTAAATGTTTCTGAGCTCTGGAAACTTCATTTCAGCATCCAACCTATTTTTTCTTAGATTTAATAGACGACCTTTTAAATCAAAAACAAAAACAAATGTGGACACAATGCAAAAAAACCTTTATGCATATTTCTCTGTCCAGAGTTTACTTTTTGGTTAACCTGTCTGTTCATTTGACAAATTCCACATACAGTCCTAAACTGATTTCCACCATACTTGGTGGAGGGATGTGGCAAGAGCTTGAGAAATATCCAATAATTAAAATGTGTGAATATCCAGTTAAAGGGGCTGATTCAAAGGGCCGGAGCACTTTGCATTACGTTGCAAGATTTTCATCAATTAATCTTGAAACAGAAAAGACAAGTCAGACATATTTATGTTGTTGCGCTCTACGAGTTTGGTGCAGTACCAGATAACGATCCAGATCTGGTGGAAGAAAATGCACGGCTGGTTGAACTTGGAGGTATGAGCTGCACTGAGTTTTAGAAGCAAGATGATAGAGCTCAGTGTCTAATAACTAAATCTGTCAAATCCCGTTAATAGTATTCTTTTTCAAACTCAAACACCAAAACTCCTTTTCTCATTCTATTTTAGAAAGTGCTAAATTTGCATTAAAAATACATTTAACAAACATGCTATATGTGTATATATATATATATGATTCTGATAAAGCACAAATAATCTGCTGTTTTAGGGAATTAATGAGATGGCCTACCTCAAAATCAGGTCATAATTAACATATAGAGCGTTGAAGCAAACATGTCCCATCTGTGTGGTTTGATCCAGTTTAATTTTGGTTTGAGGTCGAGACACTGGGAGATACTTGTACAGGCCCGAGAAAACCGGCCACAGACGTGTGTCTATCATCGTCTAAAAACAACTACAATGGCACTTAGTAGATTGCATACCTTCACCAACTCCATAAATCCAATCGAGCTGCAACAAATGTCCCAAAACCCTAAAAATCAGTTCTATAAATATGCCTGATATCAAAAAATGGCCCATCTCACAATTTTAAAGAAATAGATCAAAAAAATCCCTGGATCTGCCCTTTTGTCTGCACCAAACTTTAATGGGTTCTCTCTTGGCCCATGGAAATAAGTTTCCAGCAGCGTGGTGATCAAACACCTGGCGAGCGTGCCGGCTGGAAACAAGAAACTAGAGCTGAGATTCCTGCAGCCTGAGTTCACGGCCACGGGAAGCTGCCGGGTGACTTCTTCTAAAACAGAGTCATGAATGAAGTGCCCTGCCTCGGCCTCTCAGACAGCGGGAGCATGCATGCTGGTGGTGTGCAGCTGGGCCCTGATAGTGAGTCTAACCAAATTTAGCATGGAAACTGCAGTGGAGTCACTGAAGGAGGGAGGGAGGAGGTCCCCCCCCCCCCTCAAGCTGACGTAACCAAGAGGCAGAAAATATCCTCAAATAATGTCGTCACAATGAGATCATCTCTGTGCTTCGCCAAAGATCCGGTGCTCTTCAGTTATGTTACGGCCGCAGTTATGTTGCAGAAATACTACACACGCGCGCACGCACATACGCACGCACGTTTTTCCTGGCCTGTGGTAATGCTGGTTGCAGCTTTCTCTATGGAAATGCAAAAAATGGTTCAGCTGTTAGTTCTAAGTTCTGTAATGGTAGAGTCAGTTCGCAGAACCCTGAGCTGGAGAATCACTTCTTGCCGTTGTCGATCACATTGTTGTGATCAACAATGTTACTGATGAGTCCCAGCCGTCGCTGCTACAGAGCATTGGTCACCCTTTTATTAAAACTTTATCAATATTGAACGTACCGAGTGTCCAAATCGCACCAAATCTTACTGGTAGACACAGATTTGTGGAATTAGTGGAGAGAAGGAAATAGTAAATTAATTATCTTTGGATTTTTGACTTTTAATCAGGCTAAAAACCTTAACTTTGGGATACAGGAAATTTTGATTGACATTCAATTAATACTACTGATAATAGTCTCTTTTTATTTTTATTTTTTAAAGGTTTCTTGCAGATTTTACAAATCGAGAGTTGTCTCCATCAGGTTTACATGTTATGGCAGTTACGACTCAGCCTGTGGTGTATTCTGGGGCCTTTGAGAAAGAAACTGTGATTCATTAGGTACAAATGACTTGTTGAGTCAGTTGTGTTTTTGGAGCTTGATGCACTTCCGGGACTAAAACTCTGTTTATCTGATGCTGCTTTTCTTCCTAAACTTGGAACATCTTCTTGAAATTTTCTTGAGGGGCTGTTTTTGAGAACACAAATGTCAGCACCAGTTGCCCAGAATGCCAGCCCCCTAGTAAAATGTCTGAGGGAGTCCATGAGAGAATTCAACAGGAAAATGTCACAGCAAGCTAGTGGGCGTATTGATGACGCGACAGACATGAAACTGGAAGAATACAAATATCTCAGGATGTAGAAGAGGACCCATACCATACACATTTTAAAATCTGTCTCTTGTCAGTGCCACAACTTTAAATAAGTGAATCAATAGTGAAAATAATCCTGAGCTGAAATCCAGTCTTTCACCTCTGCTTGGTGACATTTTCATAATTTCACTGTTAAAGGTATAATGTCTTTTGTTCCTACACAACATACAAACCACCAACTGCAACCTGATGAAGACGTTTCTGATCAAGTGCTGAGATTTCTGGCTCTGACGTTTCAAGACTGCTGCACACTAATCACAAAAAAGAAGTGCTTCCTGCTTGTACACTACAACTGCTGAACCTTTTAAGGTCATGACTCGATACCAGGTCTTAGTCAGAACCAGGTCATTCAGTTTTGTTTGAATATACTTAGCAACTCCCACAGCAGCCGTACTGACTCATCATGAATCATTTCATCAGCACAGCACAAAGATTGAACTGATTTCTTGTGTCAGCAGACGATTTAATGTAAACTACGACTCTCTTAAGTGCAGTGGGGACATTTATGAGTCTTTTATTTTGATAGAGTGCAGGTTTGTGCTTGGTTGATTAAACCAAACAAAAACTAGTGGTTGTCCACCACCACCAACCAGTGCAGTTTTAGTCTACATGCATTTCACCTTTGAGTTTTGAATTTTAAGAAATTAAAGGTGGACTTGAGATGTCATGTTCAAGAGGGCAAAAACATGTTTAATGAGGACAGTGGGACTTTGACCTTTGACCGCCAAAATCTAATCAGCTCATTCGTGAGTGCAACTGAGCGTTTGAGGGAATACCCTCTTCTTGAGATATCCTGAAAACATAATGCTTCCAGATACTGGCTGTCAATGGTGCAGAGGCACAACAAACATATTCAAGATGTGACTGAGCTCCACATCTAAGAAACTCATTCATGCTCATCTCCTGAAAACAGCGCAACCTAATCGCACCACACTCAGTGCTACTTACTGCCATGTATGGTCTGCAACCTGCATCTCTGGTTTTGGCGATGGAGTCCACCAGCTGACCACTGATGCCAAAGTCACACAGCTTTATGTTGCCGTTCCTGTCCAGGAGGATGTTTGACGGCTTAATGTCTGAAGGAGAAAATGCTTGGTTAATGAAAAAACACCCGAGGGTTTATTAAAAATATACAAGATGGGAAAAGTCCCTGGTGTTATCTTACCTCTGTGTATTATTTTCAAGTTTTCTTTTAAGTGGTTAAGCGCTTTCACAGTCTGAAATAATACCAAAACATCTCTTTAGTAGTGGTATATGATAATCAGGATTAAAAAAATAGGTTGTATAATTATCAACTTACAGCTAATGTTATTTTTCCTAATATTTCTTCTGGAATCACGTTGTCTAATGAGCAATATACAAACTTGTAAAATTTGTCTAAAGAGGTAGCCATAAGTTCCATACAAATCCAACAGTCACCCTGGAACACAAGAAATGCAGTCATCAAGTTTATGAACCCGTGAAACAGTAAAACTATTTGAACATAGCAATAAACACGGTTTCCTGTTAAAATGTGGTTTGACCTCACCTCTCTGAACAGAGCACCGTAAAACTGCACGATGTAAGGACAATCACTACTCCTCATGACCACGTCCAAGTCCATCAGCAGCTGCTTCTGCTCCTTCTCATCAACCGTTGAACGAATTCGCTGTGAACACACAACACAAAGTTATCGCCGCACTGTCAAACAGTCAGAAGGTGCAGGTACCGGAGCCCCTCGTCCGAACAATCGAAGTAAATGATCACCTTGACCGCCATAATCTGGTTACTCGGCTTGTGCACCATCTTGTTGACAGAACCGTAAGCCCCTCGGCCAATCTCGCCCAAATCTTTCAGGTCCTCGGCCGTGAAGTCCCAGTGCTGCTCTGGCGAAATCTTCAACTTTCCTGATGACTCAATGCTGTGTGTTCTCAGCCTCTCTCTAAGAAAACCACGGTAGATAGTACAAAAGAAGAGAAAATGTAACACTTTGAAGCAGGATTTCTTTTTTGGGGGGAAATGCACATAAGCTCTGAGGTTCACTCACATGTGCGGGTTTTGGAAAGGCGGCCCCGCTGTGTTCAGCGTGAACCTAGTCGTGGGTTTGATCGGTGGGTTGGCAAAGTTCAACTTCAGGGCTTTGCGTTTACCTGACCAGTGGAAGAAAACAGCCATGTGATCAGATTTTAAACCCAAGCAACAAAATGCTGAGCCAAGATCAAAGCAAACTCCCACATGAAAGGTCAGAGCAAACGGTGAGTGAAAACAACACAAACCATAAAATGAGGGAATGGGAAGAACGAGGAGACGAGTACATTTATCCACATGTTCTCAAATCCATGGACGTCATGCTCTTCATTGAACAAGGGGAAAAGAACTGACAACTTCTGCATCACTACATTTTACAGAATGTAGTCAAACTCTGCTGTGGCATTTTCAAATGAATACTCACCAATGAGTCCTGAATACGTTTTGTTTCTTGTTGTCAGCAAATCCAATGAAAAGACTCAAACCAACAATAAATATATCCAAATGTTACTACTCTGGGTCATGCAGCTTTATTATTGTGGTGACATGTCCTGTCATCACCATTAACATACACTGTTCTGCTGCTCCAAATACCCAAGAGCACCAAATGTGGATTCATAAGCTGCTGAAAACAGTCCCTAACAAATGCACAATTTCTTTCAGTTGGAGTAATGCCAGCTGAAAAACTATAGTACCCAGCTTTGCAGAAAACCACCAAGCCTTTATTCAATGAAACTACATGTTTCTGAGCTGTTTTGAAAGATTTGCACCTCTGGGGGCAAAGAATACATTTTTTTGCTGAAGACCACAGAGAAGTGGAAAAGTACATTTCAAGGGATTTGTTGAATAATCCTCATGATGTTTTCACTAGTTTGTTTCATCTTACTTGTATGAATTGTAGTTTTCTTTACCCCAGAAAAGGCCCTTTATATTTAAATACTTTATATTTACATCAAGGGGACCCAGTCTGCGGAGGCTGCCATTTTTTTTTGACATTAGTCCAGACTGGACAAACTAAACACCCCTTTTGAGTTTTTATGACAACTGAAGCTACCACAGGTTTCTTTTCACTTTTGGAAGGAGAGGGTGAGGTGAGGGCTGTTCAGCTGCAACATGCAACTTCAACACTAGATATGACAGAATTCTACACACTGTACCTTTAAGGGGTTTTGTTCAGTGTTTGATAGAAGGTTTATTACAGACATCATTTACAGTCAAGTGGATGGCTATATATCTGTTAAAACTTTGATTACATTAAGACTATAATCCAATCATCTAAATTAAACACTGCCTGGCCTTTTTATTCGGTAAAACTTTACAATCTGATGTAATCCAGTACAACAACCCTGCCAAACATTCTGTCTTTACGAAGCTCATCATGTTTCTTTGTTAAAACTTGTCAAGTGGATGCTCCTGTCTCTTTAGGGCCCCCCTCCCGATAAAGGCCAGTCTGCTCTGATTGGCCAGTAGGCCCACTCTGTTGTGACTGGTCCACTGCTCCCAGCTTGTGAAGGAAACTTCTATCCCTGCTCTCACTTTACCTGGCTTTGTAAAGGGTGTGCCTAACTGGCCAGTAGGAGTGTATTATGCATGTGTCATAAGTATGGTCCGGACTACTAACGAGGTCTTTCAGGAGCTTCAGTCTTTTCTGTGGGGGAGATGAGCTCCCTTTACCACAGACTTCGAGGTTTTTAACTTTATACCTGCCTTTTACATTTTCAATTAAACTTAGACAACCCCACTAGTGGAAAGAAACACTGAAAAAACATCATAAGGATTATCTTATGTCTCCTCTGAAGCTGAAGTGTCACATGAGTTAACGCAGGACCTAACACTCCGGCAACAGAGTGTAAATTATGTGGTAAAATCTCTGAGTAACTCACTGCACACACCGTGACTTCGCCCAGCACTAACGTGCACTGGTGTCAACTGCTCAGCTGCAGCCAAACACATTCATCCCCATAAGTCTTCCTGCAAAGTGCTGACTCTATAAACACCTCCTTGCAGTACTACCTACATGTGAATCCTTCATTTGATGCAGAAACAGAAATGAGGCATGCTGCTAAAATCCCAGACACCTACGTTCACAAACACAAACCACCACAGGTCAACAAAAATAGGCTAAAAAAAACACACTGATATATATTATATATACAAATATATCTCAGTGAAGACATGCTTCTCAAGGCCAACTGCTTTGATTTCACCTTGAATCGTGGGACAGCGCTTCCCCCGCTGGCTCCACCCAAATACCACAAGAATGCATGTTTGAATTCCAGTCGGCTTCAGTGGAAAACATCACTTGAAATGACAACTTTTGAGCGTGTGTACCTTGTCCCGACAAGCAAGTGCTATGCTCAAAGTGCACCCATGCCAAAAAGAAAAAGGCAAACCAGTCGGAAAAAAAAAATTAATAAAACTGTTATGTGACAAAACTACAGGCACTACTTCTGCTTGTTAGTGACACACTGAACACCAGTGAGGTAGAGCTTCCATTTCAGTCTATCCTTTTCTGTAGCAAGGAGAGCTTGTTGATCACACCGAGGGGTTAAAATCAGTTGGGAGGATCTTGAGCCAAATATCAATGGAAGCTCTGATTTTTAGGCTTGTGCCGATGAGAACGACTACACCTTACCTTAAGTTGCTTTGATTTGAAAGACATTTAATCACCTTTTTATGCAGCAGAGTTTCTTAAGTGTGTATTTTAAGTTAAACGTATATATATTATATATTAAACTCAGAGACAAGCTGCTTCTTTATTATTCTCCATTATCTGGGCAAGTATATTAAATTGACTGATAAGTTACCGGCACAAGCCTTCTTGAACTAATGGTAAGTCTTGACTTGGGCCCTGTTCAGACCTGGTGTTAACATCCGTCCTGAGAGATTTAATCACAAGTCATCAGCTCTAAGCTTTTTTATTCGCCTGACATTAAAATGCATCCTGAATGCGTCTCCTGTGACCATTTGTTTTATGTCCTGTTCTATATGCAAATAAACCTGGTGGGTGACTGCTGGCTGCACCCTGCCTCCTCCATGTTTGCAGGTGGGACATGGACAAAATTGAAGTTAAAAAGCCAAAGTATGGTTTGGTTTCTGTCACTTTAGTTCTTATGACACTGATGTTTGTTGTTCATGTTTCCAGTAAGAGTTTAATACGTTATTTGATGATATAAAAACAGGGTGAAGTGTCATGATTGACAGCTAAGACTGACTTACAGTGTTTGTATCTGAGATTTTGGCCTCAATTCTGGAGAGAGGGATGAAGTGGAGATGCAACAGAGAGAAAGAGAGAGCAGACTAAGTGAATCCGAACAGTTCTTCTATTATATGAGAAGATATTACATTTCCATCCATTCCTTCTAAACACTGCTAATCTTTTGAGGGTCACCAGAGCCAATTCCAGCTGACACTGGTCAAGAAGCAGGGTACAGGTCGCCAGCATTTCGCTGATATATAGACTAACAGTCTCTGATAAACCCACAGTCTTTGGATTGTGGGAAAAAGATGGAGTAGCCAGAGAAAACCTCACCCAAACACAGGGATATCATGACAACTCCACACAGAAAGACCTGGCTGATCTGGGGCGGCGCTAACCACTGCACTACGGCTGTGGGAGGCATTTTAAATTAGAATCTTGAAAAAGATAGAAATCAGTCCGTTTTGATATTATGATGGTGACCACAAACCAAGCTCCTCCAGTCTGCATGCCAAAGTGGGCAAGATACTGAACCCCAAATTGCCCCTGATGGCTGTTCCGTCAGCATATGACTGGTGTGTGATGGCATATAATAGCGCTGTACGAATGTGTGTGTGAAAGGCTGATTGTGGCTTGTAGTGTAAGGCATTTTGAGTGGTTGACTGGAAAAGCGCTACATGAAAGTCCATTTACTTATCGGAGATCTCAAGGTGCATTGAGGACGCATTCGGGTGCATTCACACCTGAACTTGTGAACGGATCCCTAAGGACGGATGTTAATTCCAGGTCTGAGCGGGTTCTTGGATTAGTTGAGAACAGCAGGACAGACTCCCCCATACCAGACTGTCAGTCGGAAACAAAGGGATGAGAACTGTTGGTGCTGAAGCAAAAGAGGTTTGGCTTACTTGGGGGAGCTCCAGACAGGTTTATCTGAAAGCCTAGAGGTGAGAAGACAGCTTTTATTTTCTTCACATTATACCTTCAACCTGTCTGCTTGTCTCTTCTTCCTCAACACACTGCTTTATTAGCAGACTTCCAAGATTCAATGCAGCATCCCTTGTTTTAGAAAAAAAAAATAAAGATTCAAAAACGTCCATTTGGTCTGACAGGAATCCTGCAGCATCAGGTACGAGGGGCAAATCACAGAAATTGGCCTTGTTTTGCTAAATTATGAAACATACTGGAGCATCATGTCGCAGGTTTAATGCATCATCTTGGGGGGGGGTAATGCATTAGCATGCAATGAAACAGCTACAAGCACTTCCTGTGGATATGAATTTTATAAAAGGATCTACAGTTTGAATGATCGACCTGAAACGATTTTGAAATGGAAGCACAGTTTAATGAACAGTTGGGTTTTTTAAATCATGGGACAGCTCACCGTTATTCAGCACCATGGCAGCAGTAAGAAATCATGAGTTAGCGGCATTAAGGTAAAAGATGATATATGATCAGGAGAAGATAAAGGAAAACAGGATTATACAACAGGGATAAATGACAGAAGCCTGGTAAGTTATGATTGAATAAATCATTTAAATAGTATTTAAGAATCAATTATATTACTGTTAAATTCAAATACGGTACATCTTCTTAATAAACATGCAAGTCAGATCAAAATCTATGACGGAGTATTCGGATCATGCTGAAGAAATGTGTATTTTTGAGATTTGAGATTTTGAGAATAAATACGTAATAATACACAGTAAAGGCTGTAATGTTACAAGAATACTGTTGGAATTTTACAAGAGGTTCACCTTGCTGCTTACTTCTTTATGTTCTCTTAAAGTTGTGATTTTATTTTCCTCATATTACGACTTAATAATTGAGACAAAACTAATGTTACGAGCATTAGTTGAAATATTTTGATTTTGTTCTCAATAATGACTTTATTGTCACATATTAGGGGTTTCATCTAAATTGCGACTTTATTCTCAAAATCAGTAAACATATTTTTCTTCAACATGACACTAATACTCTGTCGTATGAATCCATGGGGTCATGAAAAATCAACACAATTGTACAACCTGATAAGAGACATTTTAGTTGCTAAAAAGTCAAACTTGGTCTAGTATAAAAATCACTGAGCACCAAAATATGATGCTTAATATATGATAATGGTGTTTTTGCTTCATTCTTTACCTTACAAATAAGCTTTAATTGGACATAAAATGAAAGTGCTACTCTACCAAGTCAAATGAAGTGTGTAGCTACCTGTTTCACTCTGACATCTCCAGCAGGTGTTGGACTCTGAAAGTTAAAATGAGACAGTGTTTGTACAAAAATACAGCATCGCAATGAGCATTTGCCTCAGAGGCAAAGTGAATGAAGACGCAGGTTCAGAGCTTCCTGTTGACAAGGAGCTCGTCCTCAGGTTTCACTCCATATAAGTCGGGCCCATTCTGCAATACTATATACACACACCTTAAAATTAAGTGTTCAAGAATGTCTGGAGACCCACATTCAACAATCAAATATGTAGTTTTGCATATTTCCAACCACACAACAACATTTTTGTGCCCCGGAGGTGGAAAACACAAGCACAAATCAAAACACACAAGAAAAAACAATGGCAAATAAGACTAAATAACAAGGATGAAAACATACGGTTCATTCAAGCAGCAACAATTCTAGTTGACTGCAAGTACCTCCATCAAGGTAATGATGTATTTTCCTATTTTCTGTTGTGTGTTTTTAATTTGTGTGTGTTCTTATGTGCCATTGTTGTTGTGTTTTCCTTGTTAACGTTGTGTTCTGTAATTTCCTGTTATGTTTAGGATTTATTGCAGATACGGTGGCACTTAACGTGACATGAGTCCTGATTATTGTTCAGTTGTGAAGGTGTTTGATAACTTTCATGCTTTAACATTAACATCGATCTCGATCGCGTGGAATTCGCTGATTAATGTCGATGCAGATGCAGAAGACGAATTGAGCTCAAATTTGGGAATAAGAGACGTCACGCATGTCATGGTAGCTGCAGCAGAAAACACACTGACCTAATATACGCCGAATAGAGTATATATTATCATTCTGTATTTGATATAAGCTTTAATAAATGACCTGTGTTACATGTTTATCTGTAGGTGAGATTTTAAATTGACGGTTTTTAGAACGGAGTTTGGTGAGATTCCCCCCCAGACAGGGTAGGACAGAATGTAACCGGGCTACAAATATCAAAATGGTAACGAGGACATTGGATTAATTTGACATGCAGAGGACAATGATCATTTTTACATTTGGATATTAAAAGTCAGAATGTAGCTCTTGGGGGAGACACACTGGTCTGTTCCCCGGGGAGTGTTTCCAGTGCTGGGAGTAGCCTGAGCCTCCCACGGCTAACCGTGCTAACGTTAACCTTCACTGCAGCGGAGTGTGAGCTCCCTCCCTCCCCGGCTCCAGGCTCCGGCTTCCCGCAGCGCCCCCCTCCACTCACCCTGCATGCTGCTCATCGTGGTGATGTGCTGGGTCTGCTGGTGCTGGTGCTGGGCCGCGGATCCTCCGTTGTTGCTGCCGTTGTGGCCGCTCGGTGTCGTTGAGTTGTTGGGACCGGGAGTCGCCATTGTTGTGTGTTTGAATTCCATCAGCAGCGCCGGGGCTGCAATGCAGAGAGGCGGAGAGCAAGTTCACCCTCCCAGCCGCAGCACGTACTGCCCCGCTAACGAACACTTCGCACCGCGGGACGAGCGGCCAGCGACCGTACGATGTTCCACACCGCAATGGGTTCCAGAGGGATTAATAAGAGCTAAGCTAACAGCTACCTGCGTGGTAACGTCAACAAAACAAACATCCAGCTAGGCTAAGCTAACCAGTGGCTAGTCAAGAGGCTTCATGAGCCGCAATCAGCTGACCCACTGACATGTCAACACCCACAGCTGCATACCGGATACTGTCAGAATAAAACAGGAACATTCTATTAATTACTTCATAAATTAAACTCAACAAATCAAACATTCATTTAGAAAATATATTCAAACTAAATACTGAATTTGAAATAGATTAACNATCTTGCTACACTGTAATGCATCAGGTTTGACCAGTTTCGAATGGAGGGATGACACACAGTAGATAAACACACTCACACACACACACACACACACATAAACACAAAAACACGCTAACACACTGTAAATTCACACCAGGGGAGCTGCAATTATATTTAATTATGGCATATTAATTATTCAAACACAAGACAGACCTCGACTGGGCCAAGACTGATCCCCATTATACATGCCATCTTCATTATTTCAACAAACAGACTTATTTGTTCTTACCACTGCGATGGTTAATGGATAAGTCAACTGGCAGAAAACTAATTTAGTGTTTTAGAGGTCCAGTATGTAAGATTTAGGGGAAAGGGATCAATTGGCAAAATTTTAATTTAAGAAACTACAGAGGCCGCCATGTTTCTTACAGTCACCCAAACCTGACAAACTAAAACACCTTTTGAGTTTGTTGGACAACTGAAGGTTACCACAGGTTCTCAGTCATCTTTGAAGGGGAGGGGTGTTCAGCTGAAACCTGCAACTTCATCACTTCATCACTAGATGTGACTAAATTCTACACACGGAACCTTTAATTGATTAAGTAATTTTTAAGCAAAAATGTCAAGAAAAATAATCCACAGATGCTGAGAAAACAAAAGTAGTGTGAAGATTTTAACTGAATACACTAATGGAGGAACGGTTAGCATTTCTGATCTCTAATATATTTGCTTAATATCCAGACATACATTGAACCTAAACCTTTTTTTTTTGCCCCATTTGATAGCCCAGTTTTTTCTTTTTAACTTTATCGCCTTTGTTTAGCATCTTAATCAAAAGACAAGAATCAATAGCAGTGTAATTTCCTGGTTGTCACACCAGCCGCCAACTTGGACCCTGAAGGGGTTTCATCTCTCTTTTTATGATGCAAATTCCAAAATAAATTTGGAATTAATCAAATGAATGCAAACTAAATGGTCTTTGGACCACTGGTGGAAGTGGCCCAAAGACTGAGACGGTGAACAGGTTTTGTCCTTCACATCCTGCTCATCTTACTGAAAAATCAAGTCAAAGATACATTTGAAAGGCATTACACCAAGTTTGATTAACGTAACAAACAGCCTCAGAATATTCCTATATAATGAGATTTTATTTATTACTTCAGTGACATTCATTTTTGTGTATTTTGCCATGTTTGTTGTTGACTCTGATATTTGTCTTTCATCTTTTAGTTTCCTGCCCTGGTAAATTTAAATAGTGCATACTATATAATCAAAATGTACAGAACTCACGTCCAGTGGGTATTTTGTTTTGTAAAGAGGAGTCGGAAATAGTATTTTGTCATCATGGCTGCCTTGACATCAATGCGGGCTCAAGGAATGTGTGCTCGATTTGTTGTCCGGGGCAGCCAGGAGGTAAACATCGAATCTCTCCTCTTATTAAGTGAAATCACCTGTATTTCGTATTCTTGACACATACATCACACACAGGATTTCTATGTCAGAGAGTGGCTTCATTTTAAAAAGCGTTATAACCACAGGACTGTAATCTGTGTGTGCAGTGATATATGCATATGCAACACACATTTAGAGTCAAATCAAATCCGCCACAGTGTGTGTGTGTGTGTGTGTGTGTGTGTGTACTCTGGCTTTGGCGTGCATCATATCAAACACACCGTCTCTCTCTCTTCTCTGCCTCTCTGCAGACTGGAGAGGCTGCAGTGCGCCTGCTTTCTTACGTAGGCCCGGGCGGGGACATGCGAGCTCGGAGGAAACCATGGGGGAAGTTTGTAAAGCCGAGAACACAGGAACATGGCGTTTTCTGATCTGGAGAATTTGTAACGTCTCCATGTCTGTATTTTTCGCTCTTGCCACATATGTTCAGGTGAGGGTGTTCGTTTCTCTCCCCCTCACTGCCACCCCCTCCCTCCCCACACATCTCTATAACTCGTGATCGATGACTAAACTTTGGACTGTGTTGTCCTCAGATCAATGATCCAGACGCAGGTTTGTGGATGGTAAGATCACAGCCCCACCACATGTTACTACATGTCACATATGACGGGTCATTCACACACAGTTTGTGTTGCAGGTGGGTTATGGAGTTCCTGCAGCTCTCTGTGTATTGATTGGCTTCAAACCTCATGTGACAGGTACAGAGACAAGTTCACACGTGTACTTGTTTGTTCACTGTCCTTTTCAATACATGCATCATCTGCGGAGAATGAAAAGGAAACGCTACTTTAAAGATCTACTCGTTTTCTGACAGTTTCTTTTTTTTTTTTCCACGTTTCAGAAACAGTTGAACTCTGCAGCTTTCCAGTACTTCAAGCGCCATCTAGTGTCTGTGTGGTGTCTGTACACACCTGCAGAGAAAGATCCATTGCATATTTTGGTTTTCTTCACAGAGACTTTGCCCTGGAGGCGTGTTGCAGATCTCCACGTGATGATATCCAGTGCTGTTATTGCCATGTTAGGATGGACGCTTTATAAAGAGGGGATCACACACGTGTTCCATCAGGAGGAGGGCAGGTACGACACCATCCCACCAAGGCTCAGATAATAAACACACATATACATTCCACCGATGCAAACGTTTTAGACTTTATAAGATCAACCTACATCATATATTTTATACTGTTTCCTTTTTACACTGTTCGTACATATGGAGCATTTATATTAAAATATAAAAAAATCCAGTGTTCATACTTTCAGAGAGTTATAATTATTTTTAATTAAAGCTATAAAACATGGAGCAAAAAAACTTAAAATCAAAAACTATCATTACTTGAAGGTGGTTGATGCTATCATTGTTTGTACAATGTAAATCTAAATTTAATAAATTTTTTAAATAATTAAATATTTTTTTTGTATTAATTTAGTAAAATAAGAGGAAAGCACATTTGTTGAAAAAATATAAAAAGCATGATCAGAAAGCCACATTGTCATTTTCGAGTCCTGATGCATTCATTTTAATGCCTCACTGTTCTGCGGATATATTTTTAGGTTTGTTCATCTTATTTAATTTATTTAATTTAATGTATTTATTTTTTTTATTTCTCTTAACTTTCCTCAGTCTACTTTTCTGTCTTTATTTTTTTTATGTGGAGACATCTCAGTGTAACACCTACGACTGTAAAGTGTAATAAAATAAATGTTACAAACCCAGTACAGTCACAATTAATGAATTGCATGAATGGCAGTAAAGTTTTAAAATACTTTTTTCACAGTTTGAAAGCAGAACTGATACAAGTGGCATGCAATATAACTGTTTTTATCTCCTTTAGAGAATTTTCTGGTCTGTCATTGACGGTTGTTTGGCTTCTCATGTGCCGTCACTCTGGAAGGTAACATTATTGGAACAGTGGATTTATTTCAGATCTTTCGATGAATTATATTTGTGTCTGAGAGATTGTTGTCGCTGCTCTGTTCTCTGTCAGGGCTCCAGTCGGGATCCTCAGAGTGTCCACAGCTGTTGCCATCACAGTCTTCCCCTTCGTGGCCTGGCTTTACTACTACATCAATAAAGAGCTGAGATCCAGCTGGCCGTCACATTGTAAAACTGCTATTTAAACATCTGCTTCCTGCAAATGTCTTCGCTGATTAAATGTTAATTTCATGTTATTGTTTTGACTGAAAAAGTAAAGTAAAAGTATCATTACTGACAACTAATGCTTGTATTTTTCAAACAATATATTTTTTCATCTGATGTGTACCTACAGACTGTATTGCATCAATATTACACACTTTGTGTTACAGATCTCAGAAGTCAATGTTTAATTTTGGGCTCATGAAGATCAGACTCAAAAGATGTGATTGGTTTTCACATTTAGTCTGATATGTCTCTTTCAAATAAAGTGCACTGTAAATAATGGAGAATTATATATAATAAAAAGGGAATCAAGTTGACCGTGAACATATTTATTTGAAAGATATGGTTTTTTTAAAATATATTTTCTTTCTTTCTGTCTATCTATCATCCATCCATCTCTCTATCTGCATATCATCTATTATACATTATATCTATCCATCTCTCTATCTGTATATCTATCATCTATCTATCTATCTATCTATCATTTCTCTTATCACCTATCTCATTTGTCTATCATCTATCTATCTATCATTTATCTATCTCTCTTTCTCTATCATCCGTCTATCTATCCATTTATCTATCATCTATCAATCATCTATCTGTCTCTATCTATCTATCTATCATTCTATCTATCTATCACACTCCCTTATGAGTTGACATGTCAGCCTTTAGGGGGCAGCATAGCACGGAGTGGCTGACAGGATCATAGAAGAAGACTCATTAATAGACACCGATCTGAGATCAGCCCTCTGAGTATAACATCGATCCTGTTCCTCCATCGGCAGAGTGAATAACTGACCTGAGAACAGCGGTGGAGCGGGCCGTGTTTCCCTTCACTCGTCACGTTGTGTAAACGAGTGACCGCTTCCTTGTGTCAGCCGCGGTCCAGTCAGGGTGCGAACATGGCGCAGTGTGTCTTATACCACAGGTTGTTTCCCAGCAGCGTTAACGTCCTCCGGACATGTTCCTTCAGATTCACACACAGCGTCTCACGGAGACCGGGCGGACTCGAACACGCGCTGTCACCGCGGAGAGAGCCCCGCTGCCCGGTAGGTCACAGCTAGCCACCGGTGTCACCCGCTACACCAAACTCCATTCAGAAACCAGCTACTTTAACGTGCGCATTATAGAACCAGTTTTAAACACTGGTGTCAGTCTGTTTTAAACTGACTGTGGAAATATTACGAATTATGACAAAACCATGCTTCTTGGTAGGATGCAGTGTGGATGTAACACCACAGCAAACTCCATATAGAAAATGGTGAATTTATCACAGAGCTGGACGATATGGTCAAAAGCTATATGAAGATACAAGTGTTCATTGTCAGTCAGTGTCTACAATTATCACCATAAAGGTCTCATTATTATTTATTGGAAGTTTAAAGCTCCTGAGTGAAAGTCTTGGTTTTCAACTCTTGTTCATGAGCAGAGAAAAACAATCAGCACATTTTATTGATCTGAGGCAGATGCTTTTTAATGTATACCTCCACACTGTGCTCCTGTAAATCCACAGTATATCTGTATATATTCAACCTCTTGTATTTTGCAGTTGATGCAAATTATATTCTGATAATAACTGATATTGTTGTACTGCCCCGTCCTAGTGTAGCGGAGAGTTAATTGACTCATGTCTCCACATTTTGACTCTCACAATTTCACATGGAACAGTTCTTACAGTTTCCTGTGTGAAGTACGAGCAGACACTCTGTCTTCGATTCTAAATAATTCAGCAGAGGTCTCATTACCCATCTGTCTTTCCGTGAAACAGCACCACCTTACACTGGTGAATGTTGGGCCTAATGTCAAACTGCTGTGGACATATTAAAGCATTGGTATTGTGATTTATGGTCTGACCTCTAACCACGTGTCTTTATTTTTCTTGTATTTCCTCATCAGCAGGTGAACATGAGTCACTGGCACACCTGCAGAACAACACAGCGGCTGAATGAACACTGCACAAGAACGTTTTCCTCTCTGCCTCCACCACCACCATCAGGGGCCGAGCCCAAGACGTCCGGAGTAAGTGACTATAGTTTAGTTAAAGCTTATAAATTCATACCAATGTTTCACAGCTACTTATTTATGTACTTGTGTTATTAACGATCAAGTAGTGAGTTTATTTGGGAGGGTCTGATTGTGAATTCACATATTTTAAAATAGTTTGGAAGAGTCACAGCAGTTATACAGTTGCACAAACTTTCTCTCTGACCGCAGTCATAATCTTTACAGTTTGGTTCCTCAAGTTAAATAAGCTTATAATGATTCTCTTATAACAAGCATCAAAGTTTGTTTAGACGATTGAATCTGTGAATTTCAGAGAGAAAAATAACAAAGTACAAATACACTCAAGCAGTTGTCGTGTTTTTTCTCTTTGTAAAGCCAGTGACATGGAAATCTTTAGCAATAACATTTGCTATCGGAGGCGCTCTGCTCGGAGGGATGAAATATTTCAAAAAGGAAAAGGAAGAGCGTGAGTATCTTTAACTACTTTCAGACATGCACTGAAGTCTGGACATTTTTTTTTGAATTTTCTGGACCAGCTGTAAGTGAGAACGCAAATGTCAGAGTGAGTTACTCATGACATTTTCTGAAACGTGTCCTGCCAGCCTCCTGGTAAAATGTCTGGTAATTATCAGAGTGAGCCCATGTGAGAACACAGCAGGGAAATGTCCAGAAGGTTTGTGAGCGGGGGACTGTGTTGATGACGTTTTTTTAACACAAAACTGGAAGAACACAAATATGTCAGGATGAAAAAGAGAAGCCATACACTTAGAAGAAGTTGATGGTCCACAAGACAATAACTGTGTCTCAATTCCATCCATCAGCTTCATTTGAAAACCAATTATGTCACAGCAGCGCGATTAGACTGTTTTTCTGGTCAACCTATCCCACGACTTATTGCACTTAATTGACAAGCAGTTGTTCAAAGAGATAATGGCAGCAATTCATTTTTAAATCTAACTATCGGCTTCAACTCAACTGGAAAACGGCACACAGCGTTTTTAATTAATCAAAGAACTTTCTCGTCAATAGCTCTGTTACTAGGCTACGGCTATAAGAGCGGGAGATGCTGGTGCACGATAAAAAGACCAGACTGTCACTTTGGTCCAGCCAACGTGGTCGTAGACCGTGTCCTCTAAAGGATGTGGCTCCTGAATTGAGACACAGATTCAAGAGCTTTTGACGATAATGGCTGAAGTCGTTGTCAAAGTGCTGTAAACACACTCAGTGTGATTTCCACAGCATGATTTTGACAATAAGACCCACCTCCTATCAAGGCCTCACCCCTCACCTAAATGTTCCCGACATTTTTTTGCTGTTGTGAATACATCCGACCTGGACAGTCTCCTGCTACATTCTTCATATGTGAAAGACAAACACAGGAAAATGGCTGAAATCTGCTTTAGTGGGAAGTGTTCTGTGCTCAGTAAGGTCAAGTTGAAATGCAATTCAAGATGATGAATTTGTGTCTTCTCTGAATCAAGTTTAGGTTTTTTTGTGTTAAATACTGAGATTGTAAGTCAACACTCTTAATTTAATTGTGAATCTCTGCAGTGATTGAAAAAGAGAGGAACAAGTCTATAGGAAGACCGGCGCTCGGCGGTCCGTTCTCGCTCACTGACCACAACAACAAGCCCGTCAAGAGCGAGGACTTCCTGGGCCAGTGGGTCCTCATCTACTTTGGGTTTACTCACTGCCCGGACATCTGCCCGGATGAATTGGAGAAAATGGTGGAGGTTGTGGATGAAATAGGTAATAGAAGCAGCTTTCATCACAGACCGTTTAGACACAGCGTGAAGTTCATTTACCAAACATCCTGTTTGTGCTTGGCTTCCCACAGATAAAATAAAGTCTCTTCCAAACCTGACACCTCTAGTCATCACCATCGATCCAGAGAGAGACACACCAGAGGCCATGGCTGCGTACGTGAAAGGTAAAGAAACTGCACCTCAGTCATAGTTTCCTCTAGGATTTCTTTTTAGCAGTTGGGGCAAGCTGACCTTTTCTAATCACTCACACATAGATTTGATCTTTATATTAACCTTATGAAATAATATTTATCTTCCTGGATATGTGGGGTGTATATTAACTATATTAAGTTAAAAGGAGCACAACATTGTTTTTCAGGTTGTAAAACCACTATTCAGTTATTTAGTAGTTTTCTGGATATTAAAATCTATTTTTTTTTTATCTTGTCTGATTTAGAAGCACAGATTAATCCTCAGTTCACCTCAATAATAAATAACTTAGTTTTTCTTATCATGTGTAATCCTACTTTTCAGAGTTTTCTCCGAAGCTGATTGGCCTGACGGGGACAACAGCTGAGATTGAGCAGGTTTCCAGAGCTTACAGAGTGTATTACAGTCAGGGACCAAAGGACGAAGACAACGACTACATAGTGAGTTAAAACTGTCTCTGCTGTTACTCTCACCACATGTCTTTATAATGGAAGGATAACGTAGGACAATACATTCAGGATTTTGCCCATTAAGATAAGTATCTGTCTGAATTCCACCTCTTGTTGTCTTTAGGTTGATCACACCATCATCATGTACCTCGTGGGGCCAGACGGCGAGTTTGAGGAGTATTTTGGACAGAACAAGAGAAGTGCTGAGATCACCAGCTCGATAGCGGCGCATATGAGAAAGCACAAGAAGGAGAAGTGAGCGGCAGCCTGTAAAGCCCATCACAGACTGACACATTGTCCTCAGGTGCTTCTGTGTAATCTGGTCGACTTAAATCATCATTATTTATTTTGGATACGCTATTATACGAAGTTAATGTGTCTGCAGAAACATTCCTTGCAATGGGTGAAGACAGATCTGAGGTCTGCTGCTGTGCTATTCTTCTCCATTATTGTCAATAATACACTTCACACTCCTGCTCATTCAAAAGACTGCACTTCCTGCGTGAGAGAAATGAATTCTTGCGCTCCTCGATATCTCTGATTTCTGATGCAGATGAACCTGAAGACAAATGTGAAACAGTAAACAGTTGTTTTTGTGACAATTCAGAATACAACACATTTTTTTGGGAATCGTTTTATTTGTTCTTCACAGGAATTAAGTGTTTAAATGTGAACTAAAAACTTTAATTTGTTCTCACTTCAGTCTAGATGATCAAGAGTAAATTACATCCTGCATCAGTTTTGAAAACCTGTTCATACCTGGCATCAACATATGGATCAACTGGTTTGATCATAAGCTCAAAGTACAGGGTTTTTTAGTTTATTGTTGATCTATGGATATGTTTATGTGTTGATTCAGAAAGGACAAGAATAAGGACAGAAATATATAATAGACTGAGGATATTTAACTATAGTGTCCAGCAGAGAGCACTGATAAGTTCATTTTTACACTACTCATGGGGCACGTTCACACTTTCCTTGTTTGACCCGGACCTTTAGACTTTTCAGTTTAGTCCAAACCCAAAAACCAGGTGTGAAAGGTGCCTCAGAACATGGTCCAGAACAACGGCCAAACTTTAGTCTGACCCAAAGAGGTGGCCTGGTTCCAGATCAAACTAAACTTAAACACCGGAAGAAGAAAAGGAAGCATGGATAAGTGAACCTGAAGTTGGTGATGCCGGTAGTAAAGCCATAATTACAGTGGCAACAAAATGAACTTGTTCATTAATTATCTCCATTCAAACAGAAAGACTACTACCCCCCTTCTACAAACCAATTAATGTCAAGTATAAGTAGAAGCAGCCACATAAGGACATAACATATGTACGTCATACAACATTCTGTAGTACGCTCCCTCAATTACAGTGGGAATGTAAAGAAATACATGATGGACATTTAAGGAATTCATAGGAATCCAATAATTAGGTAGTCACAAATGGCTATCTTTGCTATCATTATCTTGTCATTAATATTAATGTAATCTATGTCAGTGATGACCTCAAACATTTCAGTCTTAACAAAGTTTTTTTTTTCCATTTCAACAGATGCTCTTATCTCAGAAGATTAGTGTAGAGATTGCTTCTACCCAAATAAAAATAACTACATACAGCTTGTAAAGACTGAGGTCACTGTGATGAATAATTACTTTCAGATAAAGTTTCTCTGCAGATTGATTATGTCATTAGAAGCCTCACGCTCTGCTGAAAGATACTAATGATTTCCAGTGATAGTCTCATTCAACATCCCTCCCTTTGCACACGTTTCCATATGCTTCACAGACAGGGAGGAGGTACTAAGTTCACATTCAGAATAAAAGCATACAGTATATTCAGACCTGAACTTAACCACCAGCCAGTGCTGCTTTATTAATATCGTCTGTGGCTGCACACCTGTCGTGTTCCTCCTTTAGAAATGGGATTAGAAAAGCAAACACAGCAGTCGTTTGGCTCTCCGCAGCCAGACACCACACTCATTCCTGGGGGAGAGAGGCCTGCCCTCAGAATGGAACTAATTGATTTCTGGATTGATAATTTATTTTAAAATCCTCTGCAGTGGCGCCCCTGAGCCTTAATTTCCCAGAATATCACTAAAACCGGTGGAAAAGATCTTTGCATTACCGGGTTTCATTAGTGATTGTTACTGTGGTGGATACCCCCCCCCCCCCAACATACTACTTTTAAACATTAAAAACCTTCTGAATTCAGAATCTTCTTGATTGACTTCTAAATAATCGTAAGAAAGCCAAATTCCATCCATTTTACCACCTGCATAGGTCCACAATGAAATGCCATTTGATATGCATTAATAATAATAATACATTTTATTTATATTGTACATTTCAAAACAATTACAAGGTGCTTTATGAGTTAATAAGAAATTGAAGGAAAATGATATGGAACAGTTAAAATGATTGAATGATCGAAACAAATGAAAGCAATTTGAATCGTGTCCAGATAAGGGATGAGCTGCTCACAGCTAGAAAACATTTTCTGTCTGGCAAATTTAATTGATGCATCTTTTTGCAGATCAATCTCCTCTTAATGACTCCTAATGACACTGATACACGATCTAGGTTTTAAAAAATGGTCATCATCATCTAACACTACTTCTGAAATGTTTTGGCAGCATGCCAAGCTTGTAATGACTGATACAGATAATAATAACTCACTGTATAGAATATTGTTTACATATTGATCTCCATACACTCTTCTGTAGGAAAGACAATAGCTACTGCCTCTGTCTAGACAGATAGTGTTTCCAGGGGGTAATTCTCTACTTCAATAATGGGTGAGAGTAATACACATATCTGTTGTCCTTGAAATAGGTTTTAAATTTCATTCAGTATGCTCTTGATAAGTCTAATCCTGCAGAAACCCTGACCTGGATCGGGGCAGTTTGTCTGCTTCCTCCCCTCTAAGCTCTGTTGTTTTGCCCCCAGCGTTGTCTTGGGTGGATACTCTTGGCCACAGTTGTGCTGAAAGATAAACTGTCGCTCCAGGCTCAGGTCATGGGCATTTGTATTTCACTGCCTTCATCCTTCCCTCGGTTCTGACCACTGTTAGAATGGCATCACCCAGGTGAAGAGCAGTGCCTGGCGTTGACCCGACAGTGTTTGGATTTCTGCCCTAAGGGGTTTTCTGTTTCTTTCTCATCAGATCAGAGAATTGTTTGCTCTGTGCCTTCTGAGTCCTTTAAAGTCAGTTTGGCAGCCTCGGAGCGAGCCACCATGTGCCTTATCACTCAGAGCAGCCTCCCTCTTCCATCACTCTGCCACCTGATTGATGGAGAGCTGCTGAGATGGTGTCCAAAGTTCGTTCTAAAGAACTTTGATATTCACTTGTACACCTAAACTGCAACAATAGAGGCAGCAAAGAACCAAAGTGCATTTGGACTGACAGTGTGATCCGTTGAGGCAGCTGTTTTCTGTCTTTTTGTCCATTCGTCTTGTGTGTGGTTTGCAGTAGCGTTTGCCGTGAACCAGGTCCTTGTCTTTCCCGTTGACCCTCTAATCCTGTACAGATGCACCCGTCGTCAGATCTATTTTCCACCGGGGTGAAGCATCGGTCTCTCCCCCGGCACACCCAGCTGATGGGGATTTTCTCCCTGCCTCTTCTCTTTCTTGTCCTGTGACCCCTCAATTCACATCCTCTGGCCTCAGCACAGTCAAAGTTCCACATGCACATTTGCTGCTGTGTCGAGACGTGACAGAGGGGTCGGTGAACTCTAAGTCCCCCGCGCTGGTCAGCCTGCCCGGGCCGTGCTCGTCTACCCAGAGCCAATTATAATCGCAGCTGTTGCCAGACCTTCAAGTGACTTTAAGAGTCTATTAAATCAGCAATTAGACTGTCTGTGATACACTGCCAGATGAAATGCTCGATTCATACAGCTCTGTTTGCCCGTTGACCACCATGTGGTTTCCTCTGAGGGGAACGAATAGCAGAAGTGAAGATCTCAGCTTCAATCTAGAACTGTCTGTGTTGAAAATAAGGTAATATTAAGTGTACTAAAGTAAATGATGCTTGATTTCTTCAGTTGGTTGAGGCTGCTTTCAAAAGTGCAACAACAAACCAGGGGGTTGTACGACTAGACACAGTGACAAAGGATAAAACTAAATATTTATTCGGTGATTTGAGTTTGAGTTGTTTTTTAATACCCTATTGCTTGTGAATCATCTAAATTGAATTTATGTTGTTATGCACAGTATGTTGGAATGACAATCAAATCTTGAATTGAACTAAATAAGTGCCAGCCCATCATTAATTATAAAGACCAGTTTTACTAATAATAATCTGATTCACATTTGTGATGAAACACACAGTTTTAATATTTTATAGTGGTTTGACTCTTGAGAATTTTTTTTGGGGGGGGGTACTCTTGTGATGTTTTGGGGGCTGATATTTATGATGTGCAATTGGTAAAATAAAAACAACAAAAAAGGATCTGGTGAAGTTAAATGTGTTTTCATAAGGGGATTGTTGGGCCTGAGTGGAGATATGGATATTTTATTACCTCACTGGACATTTTTTTATTTTATTTTATTTTATTTTATTGTTTTTCAGCAAGTGTTCAAATCAGTTTACATGTTCTGGTCTTCTGTTAATGGGCTACTGTAATTTTATGTCTTTATCTAACAGGGACAATACATTGTTATTGACAAAATGATTCTCTAAATGTGTCTCATTAATCCAAACGGACAAAAAATCAAACTAAAGAAAAAAGGTGAATCAAATGCAGTTAAGCCCACGGAGCCAGGTTCAAATGCATGTCACAACAAAACAGTAGACATCACATAGAAAGATTTACGACCAAATACAAAAGGCATCAAACACAAAAAAACACATAAAGTTGTAACTAAGGCTCCACACGAAAGAAATGTTCAAATCAAAGGTGCGTTTAGTGGAGACTAAACAGACAATGATATTAAATATGAACCAAGAACATACTGTATTATCATGACGAATACCACATGAAACTTCTTTAATAGAAGAGGGCTGACAGAGGCAGGCCCCCTCTGGAATGTGCTAAATGTTGCCCGTCAACCTCCGGCTGCTCCCAACACAAACCCAAACAGTCGTGTGTGATCAGCTCGGCCTTCCAGACAGCCAATGCCAGAATTTAGGTGCTGGCCTAACAGTCGTAATCTTCCCTGATCCCAGAAAATGAGGCCCGCCGTGTCGGGACCGTAAGCCCCCTAAGCTGTCGTCCTTAGCATTCATTGCTTTTTAATGGGCAGTCTGAAACATCACAATTGAAACCGTTTAAAAGTGACACAATACAGCTATACATAGAAGGTTTGAAATACAAAATGGACATACCCGACTTTTCCAAGGTGGCGTGGAAGCCAACTCCAAATATAGGAGGAGAAGCAGCGATGGAAAAGGGCTGACCAACGCTTATAAAAAGCTGTCAACGTCTCGTTAGGGTGAGGGATGTCTGAAGTATACTGTCGCAACAATTAACAACAGTGTAGAGTGGGGAGGCTGATTTAAAAGCTCTTAAACATTTGTTAAACCTTGTGGGATACAAGCATCTCGAGTTTTCTCTCTGGTCTGCAGAACTCAGGTAACTTTGGTGCGACCAATTCTTTTGTATCCTGACCAATTATCTGGTTACCAAGTTTTCACGACATTTCTTTGCCGCAGCCGGACAAAATGAATGATGCCGAGATGGAAATATTTGGGGTGGCGGCAGCGTACCTAAGAAAACCAGAAAGGGAGAGGATCGCAGCTCAAAACATGCCGTTCGACGCGAAGACAGCCGTCTTTGTGCCTGACCCGAAGCAGGAGTACGTGAAGGGAAAAATCAAAAGTCATGATGGTTCTGACGTCACTGTGGAGACTCAAGATGGAAAGGTGAGAAACTTCCCACATCCTGTTGTTTTCTTGTCTCGGCAATTTCTGCTCATAACTGGACCTTTGAATCCATAATGCAGGTGGTCACAGTGCACCTGGACGACATTCGGCCCATGAACCCTCCTAAATTTGATAAGCTCGAAGACATGGCCCTGCTGACTCATCTCCATGAACCGGCCGTGCTGTTTAACCTCAAGGAGCGCTACGCTGCCTGGATGATCTATGTAAGAACAGCAAATAGAACATGAGTTCTCTCTCTAAAACCTTTCAAAAACAAATCAGAGCGTCTACATGACAGACATTACATCCTAAAATTGTATAGCTTTTATTTCAGTGTTTTTTTGGTGTCCTGTCTCCTCACAGACTTATTCTGGCCTCTTCTGTGTGACCGTGAACCCGTACAAGTGGCTTCCAGTCTACAACCCTGAGGTGGTGGCTGGCTACCGTGGGAAGAAACGCCAAGAGGCCCCGCCACACATTTTCTCCATCTCTGACAACGCTTACCAGTACATGCTCACAGGTCAGTGTCATCGTTATACGACTTAATGTATCTGACTGACTTCAGCTGGTTCAGTTTTGTGCAAACATTTGAGTTGTTAATGGCTTGTTGATATAATTGTTATAAAGAAGTACTTTTATACTATTGATGAACTTTGTTTGAATACAACTTAAAAGGCCCTGAAATCATTATAGTTCTCAGTTACCTTCGTGGAATCAGTCTTACATGAACACACTATTTTCTGCCAAAATAAAAGAATAATAACTTTGGGATGTCTATATCTGAGCTTGAGCATGTATGTATGTACCTTTATGTCATTTTTCCCAAATAAATGGTAGAATAACAAAAAGTGATTACAAAAAATGCATGCTGATTTTGAAGTAAAATTTACTCAAATTAGTGCAAATTGTCTTTAACTGAAGAAAAAGTAAACAAAAAAAGACTTCAATTGGTAATACACAACTTTCTAACTTTAATTTGAACACACTTAAAATATTTGTATGTCACCATCTGTATTTGATACAATTTTATTTTTTCAGTGTAAGTAAAAGAACCAAGATACTAATATATGCATGTGACTAAAGTAAATCTAATTAAAAATTTATAATACATACAAATCCCTTTATGTCACCAAATTTCTTTCCTCCCCTCAGATCGAGAGAACCAGTCCATCCTGATCACGTGAGTACGACTTGATGTGCTCTCTCACATGCATATTTCATGACGTTGATTCCCGTCATTCATTTTGAGTCCTGCACTTTGTTCAGTGGAGAATCTGGTGCCGGGAAGACGGTCAACACAAAACGCGTCATTCAGTATTTTGCAACAATTGCATCATTTGGAGACTCAAGCAAGAAAGAGCAAGTTGCCGGCAAAATGCAGGTTCTGTATTTTTTTCAGATAATTTAATAAGAGACAATCAGAAATAACCTTTTTTAAATGAATCTTTATATATACACACATATATATAATATATAATGTTTCTTTCTCAGGGGACTCTGGAAGATCAAATCATCCAGGCGAACCCTCTGTTGGAAGCTTTCGGGAATGCCAAGACTGTGAGAAACGACAACTCCTCACGATTTGTGAGTTTAAATTGGTTTTGTACAAAATGGCCATTTTCGAACATTCTTGCTATTGTTTTTTAAACCTGTTCATTTGTCATCATGAGAAAACAACCTTTCTATACTGATTTTCTAATTTGAGATAACTATGTTCTTAGCTGTTCATGGGTTCCAAATGTTTTAATTGTAGCCTTCGACTTATCATAAGTCAGATGTCAGACTTTGATAATAATAATTTTTTTCCAGGGAAAGTTCATTCGCATCCACTTTGGAACAAAGGGGAAACTGGCATCAGCCGACATTGAAACTTGTAAGTATATTCCAAGTATGACAATATTCCACCCATTGTACATACAGTAGCAGTGCTGCTATTCTACATTCAGCAATATATTGTATCACTTAATGTTTATATTTATCTTTAGACCTTTTGGAAAAATCCAGGGTGACGTTTCAGCTTCCGGCAGAGAGAAGTTATCACATCTTCTATCAGATCATGTCAAACAAGAAGCCTGATTTAATTGGTGAGTATACTTTGAACTTGTTGTGAATTTGTTAAAACTGGAAATGGCCCAGCGCTAATACAGTTACTGCAGCGGCTGACCTTGCACAGAATTATTGATACTGTCTGTTTGGGATTTCAGAGATGCTGCTGATAACCACCAATCCATACGACTTTCCATTCATCAGCCAGGGTGAAATCACTGTGCTGAGCATCAATGACACCGAGGAGCTGATGGCCACAGATGTGAGTGAATGTGAATCACATTGGACATAAAAATATTGAATTAAGAATTAAGTATTACATATTAGGTTGAAAGCATTAAATTAATGTCTTTCCGATGTGATTTATATTATCTGATGCAAATGTATGAAGAATCCTACAGAATGCTTGATGTTGATGCAGTGAACTGTGAATTAGAATTAGAAAAGCCGATTTTGTTTGATGATTTGTTTGGAATCATTGGACATATTGAAGTTTTCAAACTGAAATTATCTTGGTCTTCAAACAATCACAAAAAACAACACTATGGGAAAATATTTAAACAACCAAAATTCATTTTAATGTATTTAAATAAAACATTATGACACAAGCCATTCAAAGTGCTTTACAGAGTGATGTAACAGTAGAGATTAGGTTCCAACATAACAAAGGACAAAATGCACAAAGTGATTTAAGACTCTTTCACTCCTGCCTTGTTTGTTCTGGGCCATCAGACTTTTCGGTTTTAGGTTCCTCAGACTATCTGACCACAATTTTGTCCAATCAAAAGAGATGATCTCAGTCCAGAATAAACTGGTTTGGTTTGGTTTACTATGTAAAAACATCTTTTTTTTTTGATAATTCAGACTATTGGACCAATTACAGGAAGTCGAGACATCATTAAACAATAGAAAAAGAAAAAGACTAGGATGCGGCTTGCAGGATTCCTTGCAGTCTTCACCTCAGATGATTTAATGTTTAAACCATGAGGGTGTTCGTTGTGATGGTAGCAATATCATAATGATACTACAGTGGTACCACATAGGTGATGACAACAAGATATATATATATGTCACAATATTCTTTAGTCTGCTCCCTCAATTACAATGTACAACTAACCAAACACAAATAATATAACAAAGACAAAGCTTGCTTCAGACTTTCAGGTGTGAAAAAACATTTGTATTGTGAGCACAAAATAAGCCTCACAGTTCCAATGACAATAGCTCAACACCTGCGTCTGTTTCACAGAGAGCCATTGACATCTTGGGCTTTAACATGGAGGAAAAGTTAGGCATCTACAAACTGACCGGGGCCGTGATGCACAACGGGAACATGAAGTTTAAGCAAAAGCAGCGAGAGGAGCAGGCTGAGCCCGATGGCACAGAGGGTGACAACACTGAGCTCTTACAGCAACCTGACATTTAACATAGATTCATTCTTTATATCATTGTTTTCTAATCTTAAGCCCTGCAGTGACCTCTATATGATATCTATCCTGCAGTGGCGGATAAGGTTGCCTACCTCATGGGTCTGAACTCTGCTGATTTGCTGAAAGCGCTGTGTTACCCTCGAGTCAAGGTTGGGAATGAGTATGTCACCAAGGGGCAGACTCCACAGCAGGTATAGTTTGGTTCTACATCTGAAAACATGTCTGATTGTCTCATGTCTGATTGGAAAAGTAAATTCAGAGATTATCAGAGAGAATATTTTGGATTACAGGTGAACAATGCCATGGGAGCTCTGTCTAAGGCCGTGTATGAGAAACTCTTTCTGTGGATGGTCACAAGGATCAACCAGCAGCTGGACACCAAACTACCAAGGCAGCATTTTATTGGGGTCCTGGACATCGCAGGGTTCGAGATATTCGAGGTACACAGGATTCACACCTCCATTGAAACTGAATAGATCTTTCTGAAATCATCTGTTTATTTATTCAGTGATGTCCTGTTGTTTAATTCAGATGAACAGTCTGGAGCAGCTGTGCATCAACTTCACCAACGAGAAGCTGCAACAGTTTTTCAACCACCACATGTTTGTGCTGGAACAAGAGGAATACAAAAAGGAAGGGATCGCATGGGAGTTCATTGACTTTGGAATGGACTTGGCAGCCTGTATTGAGCTCATTGAGAAGGTGCACTCCCCTTAATCTAAATACAACTAGAGTGGCACTGACTAGAGCGCATATGTCTGACAAGCTCCAAAACGTCCCTTAAATTCAGTCAAGCTGCACAGAGTGTCAAAAACTTAAAAGGTATCAGTCTGTTAAATGTCATCCATGAATTATTCTCTGAGAAATTAAGGAAAATGTTCAAGAAAGAAAAGATCTGTTTTGTGATCCTGATCCACACCAAAATGTAATGGGTCCTTTTCTGACCATACCCCATTCTTCTACCAAGTTTTGTAGTAATTAGTCCAGAAGTTTTTGCATAATCTTAATGACAATCAAACCAACCAACAAACGCCTCATTGGCGGAGGTACATTTATTTTAAGTAGGTGATTCTGTCCCAATGCTAAACATCTCTCTGTCCTGCAGCCGATGGGGATTTTCTCTATTCTTGAAGAGGAGTGCATGTTTCCAAAGGCGACAGACAGCTCCTTCAAGAACAAGATGTACGACCAACACCTTGGGAAGAACAGCATCCTGCAGAAGCCCAAGCCCTCCAAAGGAAAGGCAGAGGCCCATTTCTCACTGATGCACTACGCCGGCACTGTAGACTACAACATCAGCGGCTGGCTGGAGAAAAACAAAGACCCGCTCAATGACACCGTGGTGCAGCTTTACCAAAAAGCTTCCCTCAAACTGCTCTCCCAGCTTTTTGCCACATATTCATCTGTTGACGGTCAGTTCATATTTAATGACAGATATCAGGTTTTACAGTGATATTCAAACTTTATTATATCAGTTGAAGTTCTTCTCTTATGTTTCTGTAGGTGCCGATGGAAGTAAGAAAAGTTTCAAGAAAAAGGGCTCTTCTTTCCAGACAGTGTCTGCTCTGTTCAGGGTAATACTCAGTAATCTTAATATAAAGGAGTTACACTGATAATATGCATCTTTGGTAGTGGTGGTTCTAGTGCTTAGCAGACATAGACTGAGCCAAGGATTCTGGAAAGTAAGAAAACCCCAAAAATGGATCATTTCATCCATTTTATTTTTGTTAATGTTTTTTTTTTTTATTTCTATAAAAGGACAGTCCTGGGTATATATATATCTTTTTGTGTTTTTAAAAATGTACCATGTACAACTTTAAACTATTAAATGTAGACTCTTCTACAGGTCCCCAAATGTATTGTAAGAAATGCTTTTACTAGGGAATATACTCAGCATAAAGGCTGTAAACAAGTTGGGCCTGGCTTTTTATTCAGAATGAGGGTATTATGCTTTAGTTTGTATACAAATGAAACAATTTAAATGTGATTTGTGAATTAGCTGTAGAGGTTTTATTACCTTCAGACCAGGGACTGGAAAAATATTAATATCCCAGTTACGGTCACTGCCATCTTACTGTGGAGGTGTCATTTGGACCCAGTGTCTGGATGGTGGTGATCGTGGCGCGGAGCTGCGGTATCAATGTCTCGATACACCTGTTTAATATACAGAGGAGATTAGGATCAATCTGCTCATCTTTGCCAAGAAAGTGATAAGCATGTTCCCCAAAATGTCCAAATGAAGATAACATGAGCTTTTATCTCCTGCAGGAAAATCTGAACAAACTGATGGCCAACCTCAGGTCGACTCATCCACACTTTGTAAGATGCATCATCCCAAATGAGACCAAGATACCAGGTAAAACAAATAAAATAAAAATAAAACCTGAAAACCTCGCAGTGTGAAGTTACCCTGAGAGGAAGTGCTTTCTTCATGCAGGGTCGATGGATCACCATCTGGTCCTGCACCAGCTGCGTTGTAACGGTGTGCTGGAAGGTATCCGCATCTGCAGGAAGGGATTCCCCAGCAGGATCCTCTATGGAGATTTCAGGCAGAGGTAACACAACTCACTTTGTGTCTGCAGAACAAACAGAGGAGATGCTCTCAGGTGTGAGGCTGAACTTGTCGATCTGACTGTGTGACAGATACAGGATCCTGAACGCCAGCGCCATCCCTGAGGGTCAGTTTATCGACAGCAAGAAGGCGTCAGAGAAACTGCTCTCTTCCATCGACGTGGACCACGCCCAGTATAGATTTGGATACACAAAGGTTTTTTGGTTTTTTTAATCCGTGGCAATGCTTTATTTTCCAGTTCATTTTCTAGAAACTGATGTTAATTACTAAGATATTTCAATGAAAGGCTCAGACTTTAAAAGGGAAATGAAGAAGTATGAATTGCTGCAGTTGTTGAATACCCACTCATAGTTCATGAAAAAGTGTCAGTATCCTGCTGAGTTTCCTAGAAAGACTAACAAATGCTCTTAATTTGGATCGGTTGTGACTTTGAGCTGCCATTCGCTATAGATCTGCTCAGTAATCTGTAAAGATTCATCCAATTTAGGTTTATTCTGAAAACTGGATTCACATTTATACATGTATAAAACACCCTTCATTCTATAACATTTTAGCAGCTCATCAGTTACACTTGCAAATATATATCGACTTAATTTTCACAAACCGTTCTTTGTCTTTTTAGAAAACTGAAATGCATTTTTATGAAGCATTTTTTTTTCTACCTACTTCACCAGTTTTCTCTATAGACTGTAAATAAAGATGATCGACATGACAGCTGCTCAAATTATCTATCCCCTGGTGGCTGGTTGCAGTATGTAAACCACACCTCCACCATGTTAGCGGATGGAAAATGGCCCAAACTAATCAATAGAGTAGTAAAATAATAAAATAGTAGAAGATGATTTCTGTCATTTAAGGTAGTTCTTATCACACTGATGAAGTGTTCATGTTTCTGAGAAGGAGACTAGAGAGATTCGAGCTCATACCTCCACCAAACACTCCCCTAAATGTAGCAGCGCCACATTTCACACCCTCAAAAATATCAGTCTCCATAATATATTGGATTTTTTTCATCAAGATTCATGAACTATTCTCTGGGAAATTGGTGAAAATATCAAAAAAGTCTACATCTCACAATGTTAGAGAAAGTGATAAAACAAATTCTGTATCTGCCCCTTTGTGCCAAAATGAAAAGATTTATTTCTTGAATTGTTTGTCAGTTAGTCTGATCTTTAGTGAAGCCTTTTAGTTTCCCATCAAGTAGGCTACTGTACACCCAAATAATGTCTAAATTTGGTTCTGAGCAGTCTACAATGTCTTTCTGCCCCAGGTAAGTTCAGATGCACTGAAATGTAATATCTTCCCAGGTGTTTTTCAAAGCCGGCCTTCTGGGTCTTCTGGAGGAGATGAGGGACGAGCGTCTGGCTGTTCTGATGACTCGGATCCAGGCTGTGTCCAGAGGTTACGTCACCAGGCTGCGGCTCAAGGACATGATGAAGAAAAGGTCTTGGCCAATTTTTAAATATAAAGAAATGAATTATTTAGAACAAACATACATCTGTCAGCACCTCTGCACAAGACCCACCGGCCCCTTCACCTGTGCATAATTATGAAGAATGTTGATGTAGAGTGATTTAAAAGTGGCATTGAAGTCCAAAACAGGTCACATGGCTGTTCAGACTGAGTTGGCATTTAAAAAATCTGATCTGTATCTGATTTAGAGTCATATATGAAAGTGACCCAAATCTGATTTGAATAGATCGGTTTCCATGTGATGTGTGCTGTTCACACAGCCATTAAACAATCAGATCACATAGAGGGGAAATCAGATTTACTTGGGCCCGCTGTGTTAACATAGTCTTTCTCTGCAGTAAAGTTTCTCAAGGAGACATATCTCGAAATCCTTTCTTTCTCATTTTTTATCCACATCTAACTAAGCCACCAAAGTTTGTTTTTCCTTACCTCTCCAAATGTAAGAAATTAGACAGTGACTGCATTGGCTGAAAACAACCTGGGAAATATCATAAAGTTGTTCTTCTTTTTCAACAGAGAGTCCATTTTCATCATCCAGTACAACATCCGCTCATTCATGAATGTGAAGAACTGGCCTTGGATGAGACTCTTCTTCAAGATAAAGCCGCTGCTTCGATGTGCCGAGGCGGAGAAGGAGATGCAGACTATGAAAGAGGAGTTTGCGCGACTGAAAGAGGAGCTCGCGAAGTCTGAGGCCAGGAGGAAGGAGCTGGAGGAGAAGATGGTCATGCTCGTCCAGGAGAAAAATGACCTTTACCTTCAAATCCAGGCGGTATGTAAACTACTGAAGAGAACATAACGTCCTGTTGGTGTTGATTTATCTCTCTCAGATTAAGAGATCAGCAGGAAAAAGCTCCTTTTCAATAATTCATAAAGTTAAACATCAATAATAAGGTTAGATAAAAGGAGACAGAATAAGAACACTCGTCAAATTGAAATCTAACTGAAATACAAACAGAGAAAACAGATTAAACCAAAATCTAAATGATTTTAATGGTAAAACATATTAAAAAACAAATGTATGAATTAAAGTTATTTGTATAATAAGTTGTGTTTCTGCATGTCTGTATCATAGACTGCATATAAATATGGACAACATGACAGCTTCCTAAAAGTGAAGCCAAAGCATCTCCATCGCCCCCTAGTGGCTGACTGCAGTACATGTCAATTTATAAGTGATTTTAAGTGGATATTTGATGATGTAAAACAAGGATGAAATGAGACTGACTCATGATTGTTAAAACGCATGTATCAGGGGGACCTTAAAACCATGGCTGTATGTATTTGACAATACATATTGACATTAAAGTGGTTAATGATCCAAACCAAACAAGTATAAATATAAAAGAATTCCAGATTTACAAAATAAAAAAAGTATGAATAAAAAAATGAAGTGACAAAATTTTGTATATGTCAGTTGCAAGATTACATAACAATGGACCTAATTAAATGAAGTAATAATAAACTGACAAGATGAGAAAGCTTGAAAAAAAAAACCACAAGATGAATAACTATTGTCTTGAGTTGAAGACTCCTCCTACACTGTAATGAACCATTGTGTCCCTGCACTTTAGGAGAGGGAGAACCTGTGTGATGCTGAGGAGAGGTGTGAAGGCTTGATAAAAAGCAAGATACACCTGGAGGCCAAAGTTAAGGAGTTCTCCGAGAGGATGGAGGAGGAGGAGGAGATCAACGGCGAAATCACTGCGAAGAAGAGGAAGCTGGAGGACGAGTGCTCAGAGCTCAAAAGAGACATAGACGACCTGGAACTCACCATCGCCAAAGTGGAGAAGGAGAAGTACGCAACTGAAAACAAGGTGAGCCGTGTCAAATCTTTTCAATTCAAGGTGTTTGTAAAGAGCAACTCAAATTAAAACAAATTCTTTCCGCAGGTGAAGAATTTGGTGGAAGAGTTGACAACGTTGGAGGAAAATCTCTTGAAGTCGTCAAAAGAGATGAAAGCTTTGCAGGAGGTGCACCAGCAGACGCTGGACGACCTCCAGGCTGAGGAGGACAAAGCAAACACTCTGGTGAAGACAAAGCTCAAGCTGGAGCAGCAGGTCGATGATGTAAGTGTTGAAAGGACAGAGTCATTCTTCAGCGTCTGCCGTTTGCATCATGTCCCTGGTTTGGATTCCTGGTTGACGTGAGTGTCTCTTGCAGCTGGAGGGCTCTCTGGAGCAGGAAAAGAAGCTGCGTGCAGACTTAGAGAGATGCAGGAGAAAACTGGAGGGAGATCTGAAGCTGTCCCAGGAAACCATCATGGACCTGGAGAACGAAAGACAGGAGATGGAAGAGAGGCTGAAAAAGTATTTTTGTTTTTTGTGAATTCGAGGCCATTAAACACAAAATAGATATTTTCAAGGCCGAGCACCTTATTGTTGTGTGACCACTTTAATGGAGGCATTACAGGTTAGCTAAAAAAAACCCTGCCTCATTCACACAGAGCACATCCACTGTGTAACGCTGGTCAGTTATCTTGTTGTTCCAAGTGCAAAGAACAAGTGTGGACGCTCAGCAGCTGACATTTAAATGAACTATCTCATAATAATTTAAACATTTTCCATACTTTGCTGCTTTTGTCTCCTGCTGCTGAAATCACAATGTTACTGTGAATTTAATGATAAATCTGCCCCCATTATCACTGGTGACAGCATATGTGTGAAAATAACAAGAGTAACTAAAGGGGTCTGAGGAGTGTTGTCTGTACTGATACCAGAAATTAATCTCTTTCCAGAAAAGACTTTGAAATCTGCAGCTTGCAATGCAAAATTGATGATGAGCAAGCCCTCGGCACGCAACTACAAAAGAAGATTAAAGAACTTCAGGTATGATTTATAACAGTGCTGCCATATTTTAACACAGTTTCTGTAACATTGCAAGAAAACCATCCTCTTTTGTACGTGTTGATGTAATTTCCCTGCAGGCGCGCACTGAGGAACTGGAAGAGGAAATCGAGGCCGAGCGCTCAACTCGCGCCAAAGTGGAGAAGCAGAGGTCGGATCTGTCCAGAGAGCTGGAGGAGATCATTGAGCGGCTGGAGGAGGCCGGAGGAGCCACCGCCGCCCAGGCCGAGCTGAACAAGAAGCGCGACTCCGAGTTTCACAGACTGCGTCGTGACCTGGAAGAGTCCACCCTGCAGCACGAGTCCGTCGCTGCAACTCTGCGCAAGAAGCAGGCGGACAGCGTGGCCGAGCTCAGCGACCAGATAGACAACCTGCAGAGAGTGAAGCAGAAACTGGAGAAGGAGAAAAGTGAGCTGAAGATGGAGATCGATGACATGGCGAGCAACGTGGAGAGCATTCTGAAAAACAAGGTAATAGACTTCCTGCGGGGAGGCACTGTGCACGTGTGTTTATGTTTTCACAGAGCTTCCTGTAACCTGTGCTCCATATTTCAGGCCAACCTGGAGAAACTGTGCAGGAGCTTTGAAGACCAGATGAATGAACACAAGACCAAAGCAGATGAAGCCCAGAGATCTCTGAGTGACTTCACCATGCTCAGTGCTCGTCTACAGACTGAAAACGGTAGAAATCTGATCATAAAAACACGAGGAAAAAATACAGAAGAACATTTACACATCACTCTACATCACTCTACCATCTCTCTCCATATTTGCATGTCTATGAGCCCTTTGTGTGTGTGTCTGGGATTGTGGGTTAAAAAAAAAGCTGCACGCAAAAAAATGAGTGTAAAAAGAATTTTCCCCTTGAGGGATCAATTATGTATCTCTTCTTCTTCTTCTTAAGATGAACAGAAACATCAGTTTGTTTTCTTAATTCATGATTAGGTGATCTCACACGTCTGCTGGAAGAGAAAGAGATGACTCTGTCGCAGCTGAGCAGAGTGAAAACTGTGGGGAGCCAACAAATCGAAGAGTTAAAGAGACTTTTGGATGAAGAAATTAAGGTGTGAAACAAACAATAAAGCAGGTTATTACAATCATAACAAGGATTTACATCCTAAGTATGGCTAAATTGGTTTTTTGGCTTGATGGCTTCATCTGTGGATCTTTCTATTGATGACTTGTTTGTTCAACAATATATAAGAAAATAGTGAAAAATGTCCGCCATGATTTTAGAGGCCAAGGTAACATCCAGTTTTCAAAATATTAAGGTAGATGATTGATTGAATAATTGTTTGACTACATAGTTGCACTAGCAGCAAAAAATCAAGCCTGGTTCCCTTTTGATATTTTGTACCAAATGATATACTAATGGATTGACGGACTGAAAAACTTGATTTCGTTGAATATTTTAAATTTTGCGTTTGTTAAATCCATGTTTACTAACAAGTCGTCCTTACATTTTTTACATCTTAACTAAGGCTGTTTACACCATGTATACTTCTATGTTTTGCTTTCATCAGGCAAAAAACGCCTTGGCTCACAGTTTGCATTCCTCCCGTCACGACTGCGAGCTGCTGAGAGAGCAGTACGAGGAAGAACAGGAGGCGAAAGCTGAGCTGCAGCGCTACCTGTCCAAGGCCAACAGCGACGTGGCTCAGTGGAGAACCAAATACGAGACAGACGCCATCCAACGCACAGAAGAGCTGGAGGAGGCAAAGTAAGAGCTGTCTGACGCATTTTGAAGTCAGTGTTAATCGGTTTCTTGTGCTTCAGCGTAATTTGTCTTTTGTTGAAAGGAAGAGGTTGGCCCAGCGGCTGCAGGAGTCTGAGGAGATGACAGAGGCAGCAAATGTCAAATGCGCATCACTGGAGAAGACAAAGCAGCGTCTGCAGGCCGAGGTCGAGGATCTCGTGGTCGAGCTTGAAAGGTCAAATGCAGCCAACGCCACTTTGGACAAGAAACAGAGAAACTTTGACAAGGTGTTTCTTTGTTTTTTTTCCTGTTATCTCTCTCCAGGAATATTTCCTAATTTGTACCATGTTCAAGCTTCATGCTTTTTTAAAAAAAAATTTTTTTACCTTCTCCTGTTAGGTTCTGGCCGAATGGAAACAGAAATATGAGGAGAGTCAGTCAGATCTGGAAGTTTCCCAGAGAGAGTCAAGAGTTCTGAGCACAGATCTCTTCAAGCTGAAAAACTCATATGAAGAAGCTCTGGATCACCTGGAAACCATTAAAAGAGAGAATAAAAACCTTCAACGTAAGAAAAAAAATCATTTGTTTTGTTCATTGTTGGTTTTTGAGAAGCTGGTGACTGTATTTTTTCTACAACAAATATGTTGCTCTTTACATTTTTAGAGGAGATCACAGATATCACAGAGCAAGTTGGACAATCTGCAAAAACCATCCATGAGCTGGAGAAAGTTGCAAAACAAACTGAACAGGAGAAGAGAGACACCCAAGCAGCTCTGGAGGAAGTTGAGGTTTGTGCAATGTCCGCATAAGACAATAAACCTCCAATATCAAAACAATAACCACAGACCAGTATTAATGTCTCTCCATGTAGTCTTCCCTGGAGCATGAAGAGGCAAAAATCCTTCATCTTCAACTGGAGCTGAACCAGATCAAGTCAGAAGTGGCCAGAAAGGTGGCGGAGAAGGACGAAGAAATTGACCAGCTCAAGAGGAATTACCAGAGGACCGTGGACACTCTGCAGAGCACGCTGGACGCTGAGATGCGCAGCAGAAATGATGCCATCCGCGTGAAGAAGAAGATCGAGTCAGATCTGAATGAGATGGAGATCCAGCTGGGTCACGCCAACCGACAGGCGGTCGAGGCCAACAAACAACTGAGGAACCTTCAGACTCAGCTGAAGGTGTGTGAATGTGCTGAGGAAGAAAAAAAATATATACTATGCTGATGTTTGCCGATGCTTTTGAATCCTCACACTCTTCTTGTCTGTCATTTCAGGACACTCAGGTCCACCTGGACGAAGCCCTCCACTGTCAGGAGGACCTAAAGGAGCAACTTGCCATTATAGAACGACGCAACAATCTGGTGATGGCAGAGAACGAGGAGATCCGGGCGGCGCTGGAGCAATCTGAGAGATGTCGTAAACTGGCCGAGCAGGAGCTGATCGACACCAGTGAGAGGATTCAGCTGCTAAACTCTCAGGTTAGGAGACAATATTCAAGACGTGCAGGAGACGACAGGGCCCTTCTGCACTGGAGAATCCATCACAGAACGTTTTAAGTGTCAGACGGTGCCAGTGCACTCCAACAGTCAAACAACCCCCCCTCTCAAACCTTCTGTCTAGTAAAGTTAGACGCTGTCTACATAGGTGATGACAACACGACGTACGTATGTCATACAACATTCTTTAGCCTGCTCCATAAATTACAACTTGAAACCAAAACTAACCACATCAAATATTCAAAAATCAGGTGTGAAAGTTAGATACACTGCAGAATACACTCTGCTGTGTTTATTAATGACATGGACGAGCTGTCATTTGAAAAAACACATCTCATACATCTCATATTTCTTCATTTTTCACCATGACAATAGTCAGTGTTCGTTTTTATTTCCTTTTAAGTGCAGCTGCTGTTCAGTGTCATCAAATCAACACCTGCCCGTCAGAACAACCGACCTGATCTCATCCTGTCATCCCTACTTTGTCTTAAAATTCAGGGTTCAGATTTTTTAAACGTTTGCAGTTGGAAATGCACTTGTGAATTTGGCTTTTAGAAAATCCGGATTCACACACCATGAATAAGATGTTTACAGTTGTAAAAGCATACATGGTATAGTACATCATAAGTGAGATACTAATATGTGTGTAAGGCAACTTTGAACTTCTAGTATTTATATATATTATATATTTGTTGACGTACTCATCTACTTCAAATTTATATGAACATGTCATATATTGAATTGACCAGAACACCAGCCTCCTAAATGCTAAAAAGAAGATGGAGTCTGATTTAGCTCAGCTGCAGTCAGAGATGGAGGACGCTGTCCAGGAGGCGAGGAATGCAGATGAAAAGGCCAAAAAAGCCATCACGGATGTGAGTCTCCCCCGCAATCCTGTTTATCGCCATTTAAATGAGTAACCACTGGACCCTGAGGTTGTGTAGATTAGATTTCACTGTGAATTCCCATTTGGCACGCAGGCTGCCATGATGGTGGAGGAGCTGAAGAAAGAGCAGGACACCAGCGCTCATCTGGAGAGGATGAAGAAGAACCTGGAGGGGACAGTGAAAGACCTGCAGCAGCGGCTGGATGAGGCCGAGCAGATGGCTCTGAAGGGAGGGAAGAAGGAGCTTCAGAAACTGGAAAAGAGGGTAGGAATGAAACCCCGGAGGTCAAAAAACATTCAATAGAAAAAAGGAATCAAAGGTGATTCAGTCTAAGTGTATTTTTAAGGTTCATGAGCTGGAAAATGAGCTGGAGGCAGAACAGAAACGCAGCAGCGAGGCTATGAAAGGTTTGCGGAAATATGAGAGAAAAATCAAAGAGCTCACTTATCAGGTAAGATTTATATCCCATTATAAAACTAAATGATTCGTAAGGTGAAAACCAATAATGCAATATGTGACGTGACTTACTTTTTATTTAGGGTGAAGAGGAAAAGAAGAATGTGGCGAGACTCCAGGATTTGGTCAACAACCTGCAGCTGAAAGTGAAAACATATAAGAGGCAGAGTGAGGAGGCGGTGAGTAAACGTACATAGATACTGTGTGAGGTGTTGGCATGGCGCGCACCTTAAAACAAGATTTCTGTTTTCTCTAACACAGGAGGAACAAACCAGTGTCCACTTGGCCAAGTTTCGGAAGGTCCAACACGACCTGGAGGAGGCCGAGGAGCGAGCTGACACTGCAGAATCTCAGCTGAACAAGATGCGAGTCAAGAGCCGAGACATTGCTGGAAAAGGGGACTAGAGATTAGTATTTCTGGAAATGTTTTTTTTTTCTTAACTTCTATTAGAGCTCCACCTTTAAAAGGACATTTAACTGAAACCTAAATTGATCTGGAACAGAAGTGAGAGAACAGACAACAACAATTAACACTAATAACAACACACCAAAATCACATGATGTATATATACATATATATACACAAGGTTTCACGGAACATAAAATGAAGATGAATGCATAAAACCATTTAACAAGTGTTTAACACGCTCAACTGAAGATGAGAATCTGCTCACCAATTATTAAACTGTAAAAAATACTTTAGCTTCAACTCACATCTTCAGCTAAAAATCAAGACGGAAAGCGCAGCAGGGCTAAAACAGTAAAAGAGCGGCCTGCAGGTTGAAATGGACGTCAAGCAAATCCACCTTTAACCCCCTGTCAGCGGTGCAGTTATCAGCAGCAGCTGGTATGTTGATGACATTTGTAGAAATCCCTGTGAAGCAGGGTTAGAGTTACTGCGGTGAACATGTGACTTTCAGCGGGAGAGGATTACGTACAAGTGCTGAAGGTAACCCCCCCCCCGAGAAAAGAGGTCAGGACAAAGAGGAGGAAGAAGAGGACTCAAGGAGCTGACAGGTTGTTGTCTAACATGCTGGTACAACAAACTTCACTCATTCATTTGTTCATAATAATAACTTTAATTATATAGCACCTTTCATAACAGCCATTACAAAGGGCTTCACAGAGAGGACAAATAAAGATACCGTCCTGTCCACACTCATAAGGATGTCCACATGGTAAAAAGAATATGATATGAGACCATTTTCCTATCGTCTGATCATAAGCATTGATTGTAATGTAAAATCTCCTTGTGAGAGAGCCTGTAAACACACACTCTGCCTCGCTGCTGTGTATGAGGAGATGCTGTGATGAATTTTCAAGATGACAAGCTGCTGTTCACACTTGCTTCCGCCCATTGCTCCAGCTAATATGATGAGAGCTCAGGTTACAGGCGCTCTTGTATGCTTATTCTAAATGTGGTCAACATGTGTTTCCTATGGCTTTGATGTTTGACACTCTCTTAAGCATAGAGCGCATGGGACACTGTTATGCATTAACTTGTAAACAATCCAAAATACTCATTGTTTGAATGGCAACACAGTTTCTGTTCAAAACCAGCAAAGATATAGTAAATTAACACATACCTTGGTTATTCAATTTAGTCTTTGTCCAAAAACATTAAAATCTTCTCTCTAATATCAACGATAGTGTTTCTATGCATTATTGTTTCTTCACGTGCCTGTTTAATTGTAGGTGTGCCACAGGGCTTGATTCTCTGCCCATTTCTACTCTTTTACAAATTAAGCCATATTACTTGTCTATTTTATGTATCTTGTTTTGCTGTCAATACACCACCATGTCTCTGAGTAATCTCTATAAGTATAGCTTTTAAAATATCACTTCTCTTTCTGACCAAAAATGGTGATTACTGGATATGGAATA